CAAGCGGCAATTTTTGGCGATAGCAACTTGAACCTTTCAAGTTTATACTTATATGCTTTAAAGTTCCATTTAAGCAGCTCGAAATTGTGATTTTTGGCATTTTCGCAACATCGCAGCTTCTGCACAAGAACAGGAAAAAACTTGAAATTTTCAGAAACTTCAGATATTCCTCAACATGAAAATTGGTTTCTGTTGAAAACCCACCGGGCCAGACCATGTTGTCGCACCTCCGATTTTTCCCCCGAGCAACGTTGCCATTGACATAAATAAAGCAAACAGGTTCTAAACTGAACGAAACAAAATCCGACCGATAATCCCTTAAGGGACTTAGCGCGGCGCAAAAAAGCATCCGCTAGCAATTGGGGCCCTTAATAATGCGCGCCCTCAGGGAGGGTCGCAATTCGCCATTTCCATACTGGAAAACTTGAATTGAAGCTCGAAATTGTTGCGAAATCCTGATTTAGAGTTTGTCAATTCCTAATTCCCTTTCGGCTGATGTTCAACGGTTCGCATCGAAAACGATTAGGTCAATATTGCATTGTCAGGGCGCAGGCGCCCCGATCGAGCCAGTTCCAGTGTCGAGTGGGCGGAGCCGCCGCCGGCCAATCAGGAGCGCCGCCTGCTTTCAGGCTCCGCCCCTTAAGGAGGACCGCTCGATTTGAGTGATGGACTCGAAGCCCAGTCTGGTTTGCGCCTCACTTAACGCCGGTTTACGGGTTTTTACGGACATTTTTGTGGAAAAAACACACATTTTCCCAGTTTAAAGATCGGAAGTTTGTGTCGTGTGGGGTTTTTTTCCCGTTTAGTGCCCCGGCGTTTTGGACGAATTTCCCATCATCAGTCACAGACCACGGAGACTCGACCGGAACCCCGATTCGTCCGGGGAAAACCATCCGGAGTTTTCCCGGGTGCGAGCAGCGCCGCTATTTCGTGTAAGTTGAAAACGCCTAAGAATTGACAGTTTTTTTGACACTGATGTCATTCGGAGTGATCGATCTACTGTCATCTGTCATCGATCGCATCAACTTGACCTGCGTGTCAATGTCATTTGGCCAGTTGTCAAGTTATCAATCCGTTGGCCACTTGATCTGATTTTTTAATTTGTTTGAATTGTGCGTCGTTTTCCGTGCGATTTACTTGCAATTTTTCGTTTTTTTTTTGATAGTTTTTCACGGCATTTTCAAGAAAATTTCCAGTTTCCGGTGAAAAGAGTGTGCAATAAATTGTGCAAATTTTTAAAGTTTATGTCCGTTTCAACGGTTTTCCGGTTAGAAAGAAGAAGAAGCCCGAAAAGTTGTTTCAGCAGTAGCGTTTGCACAGCCTGCAAAAATCAGAATTTTTGGCCGTCGGGCCGCAATTTTTGGGGATTTTTCGCACAAAATGGCAGCTATGGAATGCCAAAACTTCAGGTTGCTGCCTGTTTCGGTTTGGAAGTTGTGAAGTTTTAAATAGGCGGA